CCATGCCAGAACCAAGGTAGATAGGAGGTCAACTGGAGGATATTTCACTTTTGTGTGGGGCAACTTGGTGACTTGGAGGAGCAAAAAGCAGACCGTTGTGTCCAGAAGTAGTGCAGAAGCAGAGCTAAGGGCACTAGCAGATGGAGTATGTGAAGGCCTATGGGTAACTCGAGTTCTTAGAGAAATTGGTGTGAGGAAAATACCTTCAATTAAAATTTGGTGTGATAGTATGTCAGCACTACAGATGGTTCAGAATCCAGTACATCATGAAAGAACAAAGCATGTTGATATCGACAGGCACTTCATCAAAGAGAAAGTAATATCACAAGAAATTGATCTCTCATACATAAACACTAATAATCAAGTGGCAGATGTTCTCACCAAGCCATTGGACCGGCCCAAGTTTGAATTCTTTAGAAGCAAGCTGGGCATGTTAGACTTCTACCTGCCAGCTTGAGGGGGCGTGTTGGTTAGTGGGCCGTGGGCCTAAAACCCTAATTTAATATGTTTCTCTTGTTAACCTAGGTTACTAAGGCTGCCGTTAGGTTTAGCATTAAATCTGTTAGATATTATTCTGATTTCCTCTTTGAACCTGATTGTATCCTAGAATCTCGGTCTATCCCTAAAAGACCGCAGTCTTCTCTCTCTCTACACGGTCCCTATGTATCTATATATATTGCTGCCTACTCTGAATAAAATACAATCTACATTCATCACAAATTCACACACAACTCAAGGGGTGCAAGCTGACTCCTCTAAGGTCAAAGCCATGATTAAGTGGCTGGTGCCCAAGGACGTTAGGAGCTTGAGGGGTTTCTTGGGCCTTACTGGTTATTACCGAAAGTTTATTAAAGACTATAGAAGGATTGCAGCACCACTGACAGAGTTGTTAAAAAGGAACACTTACCAATGGACTGAAAAAGCGCGAGTAGCATTTGAACAACTAAAGGAGGCAATGGTCAAGGCCCCTGTACTAGCTATGCCGGATTTTTCACTACCCTTTGAGATAGAGGCTGATGCCTGCGGAACTGGAGTAGGAGCAGTGTTAATGCAGTGTGGGAGACCTATAGCTTATTTCAGCCAGCAACTTTCAGAAAGAAACAGGAGGGGGTCGGTCTATGAGAAAGAAATGATCGCAATTGTTCTAGCTGTGAAAAAGTGGTAGCACTACTTGGCCGCCCAACCGATTATTATTAAAACTTATCAGAAGGCCCTAAAGCATCTCCTGGAGCAACAAATCATTGCACCTGATCAAAAGGGATGGGTTTCAAAGCTCATCGGGTACAAGTTCGAAATACAATACAAGCTAGGTAAGGAAAATAGGGCAGCAGACGCTCTGTCAAGAAGAGACAGCAATGAGAAATGCCTAAATGCTTTTTCAATGTGGCAATATGCTAATATGGAAGAGTTTGAAACCGAAGTGACAAAAGATGACAAGCTGTGTGACATCCTGCAAGGATTGCTAACCGGGAAACCAGTTCCAGCAAGGTATTCGTTGAAGCACGGGTGCCTAGTATATCAGAACAGGCTAGTCTTACCGAAACAGTCTGCCAAGACCACTGCTCTGATAAAAGAGTTCCACAACTCCCCCATAGGAGGACATTCGGGGTATTTACGTACCTTCAAGCAGCTTTCTGAGGTGGTGTACTGGGAAGGAATGAAGAAGGATGTGCAAGAACAAGTGGCCAAGTGTGAAGTATGCCAACGCAACAAGTACAAAGCACTAAGTCCAGCAGGATTGCTGCAGCCTCTTCCCATCCCTTCTCAAGTATGGGAGGACATTAGTATGGACTTTATTGTTGGGTTACCCAAGGCTCACAGATTTGATACAGTCATGGTAGTGGTTGACCGCCTTACAAAGTATGCTCATTTTGTACCCCTACACCACCCTTTCACAGCTAAAGATGTGGCAGAAGTATTTATTAAAGAGATAGTAAGGCTCTATGGGTTCCACAAATCCATAGTTTCTGACCGGGATAGGGTCTTCATCAATCACTTCTGGAAGGAGTTGTTCACTCTGTCTGGTACTACCTTGAAATACAGCTCTAGGTATCATCCACAAACGGATGGCCAGACCGAGGTAAATCACAGCCTGAAAACTTACCTTCGCTGTTTTGCTGGAGAGTGCCCAAAACGATGGATTCGAATGTTACCCTGGGCTGAATTCTGGTTTAATACTTCTTACAATCGTTCCATAGACACCACTCCATTCAAGGCCTTGTATGGCCAGGATCCCCCTACCATTTTCAAGTGGCAAGATGAACTCTCAAAGGTAGAGGAAGTCAATGAGCAGATTAAAGAAAGGAATGAGATGTTGCATGTTCTTAAAACGCACCTCGAGCAAGCTCAAGTGAAAATGCAGGAGCAAGCGAACAAGAAGAGAAGAGATCTGGAATTCGCAATGGGAGATTGGGTATATCTAAAGATTCGTCCTTACAAATTAAAGAATTTGGCTAGGAGACAACATGAAAAATTAGCCCCAAGATACTATGGGCCTTATGAGATAACTCAGAGAATTGGGAAGGTCGCCTACAAGCTGAGGTTGCCTGAAACAGCACGGATTCATCCTGTTTTCCATATATCCCAACTGAAGAAATCAATCCTTCCTATGGAAAACACTCAACCATTACCTGATTCTTTATCTGAAGAATATGAATTGCAAGTACAGCCCCAAGATGTCCTCAAGGTGCGCAAGATGACTGATGGCACTCAGCAAGTCCTGATTAAATGGTGTAATCTACCTAGCCATGACAACACTTGGGAAGACATGCAGACCATACAGAACCAATTTCCATACTTTCCCCTTGAGGACAAGGTGAAACTTCTGGGAGCGGCAAATGATGGACCCAACCCGGTGACTCATCAAGTTTACAAGAAAAGGCAGCCCAAACCGGGAGATGGCGTCAGTAGACAAGCAGTGGGTCCAAGAGAACTGCAACAGCCCACTAGGCCCACCCAGAGTTAGTTTTCTAGGGTTGCATGCTCTTGGGGGGGAGTAAGAAGAACCGGGAGGATGCTTTGGGAGAGCCTCTGACCTCTCTAATGTCAGGGAGGCCCTTGTCTCTAGTTGTTTTCACTGTTTCATTCCGTTGTTGCTAGTTCCATGTTTATTTCCATTACTATAACTAGGAGTACCAGTCATTTTCCACGGTATTCCCTTGCTGTACTGTTTATCCTAGTTGCTTGGCAATCTTAATACGAAAGAACATCCAGCTCCATCAAATATTTTACCCAAAAAAATGAAATGATCCTTATATCATTTAATTCCCAATTCCTAATATATGAATCATCAATATATGATAGTGAATTTGAATCCATGATAACTGCAGCATTACTGCCCATGCATCTATATAGCAATCTTGTTTTCCAAATTATAGGTTTTCTTGTTGATTTTTTAAAATTTAACCTATCATAGAGCTACATGTAGTTTTCTCTCAAAATATTTCTATCATTGATCCAGATCTCCCACCTCTACTTCAAAAGTTGAATCGTTTATATCACACACACACACACACACACATGGAAAGAAGAAAACTCCAAAAGGATTTTTTTAAGAAAAAGGGTACTAATAATAAAGGTTGGTCGAATGGTAAATCATGGACTAAACAATTACACGTCCCAATTGATTGAAAGCATGTACCAAAAGTATACAAGGCTATGTACTAAATTTTTTTTTTTTTCCAAAACTAAAACAGCATTTACTATTATATTAATAAATTTTAATTTAGTACCTATTTTTAAAAACTGTTCATAAAACAAGATTTCCTTACATTTGCAAGGGTCACTTCAAGTTAATATTAAATGTTCCAACTTGTTTTGATCGTCAATTAGATACTTAGCAGCCTGCAGCCTGCCCCGAACACTTAATTTACATATATTTATTTATAATTAAACATATAGTCATGTCATGTGACAATGCCAATTAGACATATTAAATAAAAGCATAAAAAATATATGTCCAACATAGTGATACATTGGTTTTGAATTATACCACTAGTTGTTTGGATATGTTGATTCCTTTTTGGGATTTTATAAACCAGCCCTATGAAAATGAGTCTCAGCTTTAAAACAAAAAATTATAATAAGGGTTAATATAATATTTGGTCCCTCAAATTTACCCTCATTTGGTTTTGGTTCCTCAAGTTTCAAACTATAGGTTTTGATCCTCTAGGGGCAAAATGGTCCAGGAATTTATTGAATTATAGGGACCAATGTTTTAAATAAAAAGAAACTTGAGGAACCAAAACCTATAGTTTGAAACTTGAGGGACCAAAAATTATATTAACCCAAAAAATAATAATAACAAAAGAAAACAAAATTGTTTTCCCCAGATTTAAGACTTCTGCCAACCCATTAGCAAAACACACCTAAAATATGAATACAAGGATCGGGACTATAATATCATCCATACCTTACCCACAATCATCCCTACACTAGTAATGATGACATGTATCAAATAGGCCAGCCACTATGCCCGTATGTAGGACCTGATATAAGACTATGGAAAATTAGAGATCAAATGATACTCCTCTGGTCCTATTCGTCCTTAACATAGGTCTCCTCATTAAAATTTATTATATGAATGCACAATTTTACTCCTAATTTATTATTTAACTATGATTTTCTTGGAAAGTATATGTATTAAATAGGGGTGAAATTGGAAAGTTATTAAATTTTAAGATAAAAGTAATTGCTCTCAAGCATTCCAGCCTTAGTGTCCATAACAGAAAATATATGTTGCTACTTTACAGAGCCGCATTGAATAACCACAAAGTTTCATTTACTTTCAGCAAAATTCCAGATTAATGCACTTGCAAATGAAAATGGACAAAGACTTCCATATTCAGAGAAATTAATGCATTTTTTGTAAAACAAGTTTCATGAGTTAGCAAGAACTGCAGTACTACTGCATAAATAATTTCAGCCAAGATTCCCCCGTAATTCAATCAAAAACATCCACAAACACGCTAGAGAGGTTTAAGTTCATCCAGCCAACATACCATAGTGGGATTTTTAGTCATTGCCCAAACTTCCACAGGTGCATCACGAAGCAAAATTACCAGGTACCTAAATTATTGTGATATTAAATTGTTAGAAACCAAAAGCAGACATAAAGTACACTTTATGATCAAATTAGAAGCAAAAAGTTGTGTTATATTAAGCCCAGTCTCATCAATTCACAAATACATATAAACCCACTGCTTCTGAACAAATTTCAATTCAAAATGTTTTTCATAAAGTCACTAAACGGCATCTAACTTGTCCAAAAAATTTTATATTTGTAAGTGAATATGAATTACAAGTTTTGTATTAAAACAGAAGTACACAGAGATACTGTAAATTTGTCACCAAAACAAACTCAAAAGCTGAATCAATAATTGTAAAATTTTGCAATTTGCATGGTTGATACATCTTCTCCATTGCATCCTTATGCTGGCTTCAATGTCTCCCATGTAGATAGTGTTCTAATATATAGATAGTGTTCTGATATATAATAGTAACAAGAAGAGGGATTATAGCGTGTCAGAAAACGATCCCCTAGATCGCAGTCTGAGAGGTTCATCAAAGCTATAAATTGCAAGGGCATCCCCATGGTCAAGTCAATCAGACAATATATCAAAGTATCCCTCAAGGATAAATTGTTACACCCAAGGGGTGCACAGATAACATCATCACAAGGAGGCACACAAAGAAATAATCAGCCTTAAGGTGTTAGCAACGACACTGAAATCCAGGACTTTGAAGTCCTAGGCTACATTGCTACAATGAATGAATTTTAAGGGACTGGGAGTAGGAATGGGTTTTAAAAACATGTATGGCAAGCTATGGGAATACTTGAATAATTTTTATACAACATATGTAATTATAATTCCAAAGGACTATAATAACCTTGCCAAAAAAATCAGAAAATAAGGAAGCACCACAACTACACCATTAGCTAACCACCGTGACCACTGCAAGCGGGGCCAAGGTGCACTAATGACTTGCTGAAGTTAGGATGCCAAGCTGCAACTAGTTGAGTCTCCTATAGAGGGAGATTACAACTTGAGTTTACTCAGGAAAGGCCCGTTTGACAATTAGAGCTTCCAAATATTATTTTTATTTTCATTTTGGAATCCTCCATCAGCATTTGAAGTTACAAGAGTCCCCATATATTCAATCCGTGATCCATGAATATTCAAAGACTATTGTTCAATGAGATTCATTAATTATTCACAAAACATGATGTGGATTTGAGATTCACCTTCCGGATGATGATGCTCTTAAAGCTCTTATTGGTGCACGCTCCGGCTTTTGAAGGACTCGGAAAATTCTATTAAGTCCACTTCGAACACAGGTCACCACTAACTTGTTAATATAACCGCCAGATTTTTCATTAACCTAGGTCCATATATTGCAGAACATTTCAAACATAAAGTTTTGAAATTAGAGACGACTAAAAATAAATAAAAAATTAAAAAACTAAAGAAGGGTGGATTGAGTACTATGAATAATTCATAACCCTTATCATACAGATAGACAGCACAAATAATTTGAAAATGAAGATTATCCCCCCAAAAAAAAAAGCATTTTGGTGAAGAAAAGTATAGAAATAATATAAATATAAATCAATATTCCCAAAAAGAGGTGCCAAAATTAATTATGAATTTACCTGGGTATAAGAAAATGATACCAGCTTAGAATTTCCTAACCATCGTAGTCCCCTAACGATACCATTATGAACAGATAAACTTGAAGCAACAGCATTAGCGGAAACATCAATTACATCAATAGTCCCATTCTGAGTTCCCAAAGCAACCAAAGAAACAGCTACGGCAGGATGGTTTCCTCCACCTTCACAAAAAATAACATCAGTAAATAATATAGGGAGCATGATGTGAATGCAGCCTCTATCAAAAGGCCATACTAAATATAATACAATATATAGATTTTTTAGAACATAAACTAACGGGCCAAAGTTGACATTAGAGAAGGAATCGGTACGGCCAATGTAGTCACTGTCGAAGAAAGCAGCTGAAGCTGTCCAACTAAGCTCATCTGCAACACATGGAAAAGGGAAAACCAATATTAGATGTTTGTCAATTTTGCAAAATTTGATAGTATAATTTCAGAAGCTTTTAGCTGACAAAGAAAATTATATTGGTTGCATTCTAGAACTCACATGCTATTCACAGCACAAAAAAATAAAGACTCAGACTATCAGTAAGATCTCAGTATATGCACATAGGCATCCAGAATTTTGGCACTCAAATAATGAGAATAATGTGTGTTCCTGCTGTCACCCTCAAAGAAAGATGTATCCCTTGGACCCCGCTATTTTCCATTGCCAATCTTGACAATTATTTTCTAAAAGGAGGCAAAGTAGATTGATAAGTGATGATATTCAAGACTTACCTTTACACGTATATAATATATATGGCCACAAGAACCAACAATGCAGACAGCACCATATTACTAGCACATAAGACTGCACAAGCATTTAGGCATACAGAGAGATGAATGAATAATCCATATTTGTATCATGTCTTGCTTGAATAGCAAAGGTTGATTGCGCTTGATAAGTGACTAAATTCAACAAACCGGGCCACTAACTATTCATTATTTTTTTAGTAGATTAATTAATTGATCATTATCCATTTGATGATAAAAACCTTACTCATGTTTTCATAAAATGTTACATTAATTTGAACTCCTGTAATTTGCGAATCCTCCACATTAGCATCCAAATGCTATTTCATCTATTATAATCCTTAAGCTTGAAATCATAATACCATTCTAAAAGAGGGAAAGATGGGTTTAATTGTTTGTTTCGAACTTCTCAATTGGTGAAGTATAATAGTAAACAGGATGCACCAGTGACCAGCTATAGAGTTTCATTGTACGTAAAACTCTACTGTCAAGGACTACAAAGTACCTGGCCAAACAGCAAAATCAGTAAATTAACTATCATTATGTTCATTTTCCCTCAAAACCAATCAACAACCAATAAAACCAATAAAAACAGGATAGGTAAAAAAAAATTTCCCATTCAAAACAATTAAAAAAAAAAAAAAAAAAAAAGAAACACACTAAACCTCACACCATGGGCCTCAGTCACCACTGACATCCAACCCAAGCAAACATTCATTAGTCTAGTTATTGCCAGCAATTTATATTAGCACTTCTCTCCCATGTGGGACTGGAGCTCCTCTTTGACAAGCTTCAACCTTCAATCACTAACAGCAATTATAAGGTTTTCCCTCTTTACATTTTGAAGTCTTTCTTCTACTTCCTTGAGGAATCAAGCTTCGCTAAATTCAAGTTGTCAATACCCAATCTCTTATTTGTACATAACATGTAATGAGGGAGCTCAGTCACGCATAACTGGTGAGCTCAGAAAATGCAAATTTATGAAATGTTAGTTAACTTTGTCAATAATGAATCTCCATTAAGTTCACTATGTCACTAAAGCACTATGAGTGGAAACCCTAAATAACTCATTTATCCATTTAGTTCAGTACTTTAATTGACTTCCATAATATTAATTTTCATGTTTTATCTTTATATTTTTCTTACACAGTAATATTTTGGACTAATAATTTGTAACAAACCCAACCAACCAATTATACATCATATAGATGATTATCTTGTATATATAATTTTCACGCATGACAGAGTAGATTCTTAATACTAATTTTAGGTGATGTCAGGTGAAGAATATCCACCAAATGGACAAGCAACAAAGTTTCCCATTTTGAATGGAGATTGCTGCACTATACAGTGTTGATTAAATTTGCTCTCATACGCATTTGATAAGCTAAACATATGGAAGATTAAAAATATATGAGATATTAAGATCAATAGATCATAATAATGTTGAGTTAGCTGACACTTCATAGAAATATTCAGTGCTAACATTATAGTTTTCTTCTTTTAGTGAAAGATATAGGCCGTAGTTATCACTTTAGCAATTTATTATCTTAGAATTTTAATATACAAAATTAAACAAAAACAAACATACTACAAATTCAACCACAGTTAAACCAACAAACGGGAAGCATGTGTCTTCACTAGTCCAATGACCAATCCAACATATCGATATCATGAATTGAACAAACCCAAGAAAGCTGGTTTTACCATATCAATTCAAAGTATCCAGATACAATGTTTAAAAACGGAAAAGGGGAGAGAAAACAACTTGCTAGTCAAATCCAAAAAGCATTGAAGAGAATCAAGGAAAATAAAATGCAGTCATTGTAGATCGTAGAATAAAAACAATGGAAGAATCCCTATATATTATGAGGGATAAAAGGAACTAAATGCAAGAAAGATAATGGGCCAGCATGATGGGCTCAATAATTCCCCGCATGAATCTATAGCAATGCTGTAATATGATTACTAAAAGAAGGAAAATAGAATTATATGTGTGTACTTTATATCTATGCAATTTGATTAAGCAATGTGAACCCATAAATGCCAAGTGCAAACTACTGCCTCTGGTCCTTAATATAAAAACTAGTTAGAGATTGAATTTAATCCTAAATATAAGACCCAAATTTACTTTGCTTCTTAAATTTATAATGTTTTCTCTAACATATCCTAATTGATTGCAACGGATTCCCACCAAGAGAGAGTTCCAATGCACACAAATAAAGAGGATAGTTTAAGAAAGTCAGCATGCATTTATTACAATTAACCAACTTCACTAATTTCCTTAATTTTTCTAAATTTAACTCTTATACTAAGGACCAGAGAAAGTGCTATATGGATATATAGTTACCTTTAGAATAGTATTTTCCTGGTTGATGGTTGAGCTTGACAGATAGCTTTTAGAAGATACTGTGGTATTAGCACCAGTACCTATTAATGATTTTGTGCTGTCATCATCAACCGAATCTGACTTCTTATCATCCTTTTGGATGTCCGGCTTCCCTTCAGCAGTCAAGATCCAGTTCCATAATTTTCCATCATCAGAAATAGAGATCAAATGTGTCTCAAAAACTATAAAAGACTTGTCGATGAAATCAAAGGGATTATCAGGATCCTTGTCGAGGTAAGTAGAACTAGGCACATTAGTCTTCGCAATGTTCTGAAGAATGGAATTTGACTGGCTTAAAACAACAGCAAGTACTGAAGGGGAAGGAACAGAGGTGCCAAGTGAGGGCATTAACTCTTCGATGGCGCTCATGGTATACACCTGTTCCCCTCTGTAATGACATGAAGGCATGTAATATGAGGAAACGGAGAGGGGGAACTCAAGTTCCTACAGAGATAAAATATGACCTCCTATATGATCAATGTAGTTTGGCAGAGAAAAAATGTTTGTTCTGTCTTATTAGCTCATGGGTAAGTACATATATGTAGGACTCAGCTAGGGTTACAGGGATCAAAACTAAATCAAATTATAGTCTGATTTTTCTTCCCTAATATTTGATAAATTAAAACACAATTAATGATATAATCGGAATTTACTTAATGCTCAACGGTCATTTGCAATGGGCCAAGACCATGTCCTCATTCAACAATCATTACTTTGTCTATTTTCCTCTGACAATTTACTGAAAGCCATTACATAGATCTAACATCTTTTCTTGACATTTCACTAACAGGCCAAAAGTTGTTTGCTCCCTCGAACGTATCAAGGAGGATTGGCTTGCCCACATCCCACCCCACCCTTCACTAACACATTTGAAAGGTCCTCTTTTTTTTCCTTTTCTGGCGAATGAAAGCATTGCTTTTAACACTTAAGAACATGGACATTTTGAATTCCAATGCACCCTATATTCCATAGAGGCGGGCATTCTACTACATATGTACATCCAAGATAGTCAAGCATCTTATTGGCCAGTGTGAAAATGTTAGCATGTCAATCACAGAATACCTTCTTTTTTCATGATAACTACAGAATAAGTTCTTAATAAAATATATTTAGTATTTAGTATTACTAACATTGCCCAGAATCATCAGGAGAAAAAAGTTCAAGAACTGTTAGAATGGCAAACTGCTACAAGAATACACTCGCCCATTCATTCCACTGTGTTTTTCAATTAGGATGTATTTTTCTTTTCATTTCTTTAATCATTTGCATTGTAATCCACTTGTAAATGACTATTTTTTAAATGTTCCAGCTCCATTCATCTAAATAAGCCCAAGGGCAGTAGTTGCCTCAACGCTTATCATTATTTAGGATGCATGCCGCTAGCACACCTTTAATCTTCTTAATGATGCAAATCAGCCCCAGACCCAGTTTTAAAAGATCATGTAGACACTGTATTATGTACGATAACATATTGAAGTTCCAATCAGCACTCCCTCCAAATTAATTCTAAACAAATTAACAGAAAATTTATCAAGCTCAGCATGACAGAAAATTTTGCTTTTTGCATTCGTAGCTGCTGCCCTTATTTGTCATAGCAGTGTTTTATTGCTCTCTGACAACCCCCAACAGCTGATACTTTCTGTCTTTGAAGAGCTATGCATAGTTCACACCTGATTAAGAGATACACCCAAATATTCATAGTTCAAGGCAAGAAATGCTTACGGTTTCCTACGCCAGGTGCTGAGCTTGCCATCGAGATGAGCACAGTAAATCCACTCGTTGTTTAGATCAAGCAATACCTCAGCAAACTTCCCGCAACCACGAGGCAATGCAGCAGCAAAAAGAGTGGTCTCGTACTGCAAATCAAACACAATCAACTCTTTCGGAAATGTGATGAACAATATGTGCCTCCATTGCGGGGAAAACGCGAACCTCGCCACATAAAGCGAAAACAACGCCGATGCAGGCGACGTTGACACATCACTCGCGTCTCTTTCCAGCTTACTCAGTTCGCTACAATCGGTCCGTATCTGAAACTCCTTTATCACGAAGCTGCTTTCACTTTCACCAAGAATCATAATACTTAAGAGAAAGCCTTTAAGCCCGAGTGCGCAGATGTGACGAGAATCCAAAGGGTCCCGGCGAAGGCAAGAAAAGAATTCAGGGGATGCGTCGTACTTCCAAACACACCGACCAGTCATCGTGTTATAAAGGGAAATCGTAGACGGTCCGTTGATAGCAACAAGGAAGTAAAAGTCGGGTCGAGCTTGAACCCAACACAAGTCTTGAATTCCGAGTTTTGAATCTGTCTCGAACCACATAACAGCGATTTTGAGTCTAAAATCGAGCAAAGCAATGCGTCCTTGACGATCACCGGCGGCAATCAGAAGGTGGGAAGAGGAAGGCTCTGTGGATAGAAGGTCGTGATTCAGAGAAAGTGGGGTCCAGCGTACAGAGGTAACAAATGGGGAAAGAGATGGAGCGGTGGAAGATGAAGATGGCGAAGACGGGGGCGGCATGGGAATGGCGGAGACGAGCTGCATAGAGCGAGTATCGACGACGGAAACGGAACTGCCTGAAGGGAATGCAAGAAGATCATGGGAGCTCAAGTCCGCGGATCCAAAATTGTTGCGGCTTGGAGGTCCTGGAAGCATGCAATTCCAAGAGTCTGGACTTGATCTTGGATTCGACATTGCAATGCTTCGCCGATTTCGATCAATTCAGATGAACGAAGAAGGACCAGAAGCAGATTGGCTTAGATCGCAAGAATGAGTCTCAGCGAAGTCTTGAAATGTCTTCCGTTTTCCCTGACTAGTCCTCGCAGCACCTACTGCTGTGTAGATACCACAGAGAGAATTGAAAAATTAGCGCTTGTTGGAGCGCGCTGCGATTTCGGGGTCCTCCTATGGACTATATATAGAGTGGCAATGAGGCATAGGGACACAACTGCGCATGTTGGAATTCAGAGAGGCCGCTGGAAATCTTTAAGAGCCCAGTGAAATTGGCGTGAAATTATATTAATTACTACCTCCGGTCCTTAATATAAGACTCCGTTTGACTTTTTGTTTGGTCTTAATTATAAGACCCCAATCCATTTTTTCTCTCATATTTATGTATTTTTTTCCAAGATAGTCCTTCTAATAATGATAGTTCTAGCCAATACACTTAATTAGTAAGGATATTTTAGGAATGACAATACTTATTTATTACAAATAACTAACTTAAC